CTGACTTACTTACTGATGTTCTTATAAATCCCTTTTCAATAACACCATAATTAGATTTCATATACACACTTAACGAAAGCAGTTTGTGTGTATTAAATGCACATAATATTTATTTCTGGTTTTACTATTGATTTTTTTTAAATTTTTTAAAAATTTATTTAATAAACTTTTAACCTGATATAGTAATTATAAATCTAAACGTTTATGAATTTATATTTTAATCCAGGGTTCACAACAAGATGCTCTAATCTGAAGTAATTTTTTTTTTTTATTTTGTAAGTACTTATTTTCTACAAAAATAATTGAAAGATAGTTCGATTATAGGGTTCGTATTATTACATGTAGCCAAGTGAAGGTATCCATATTTGTTTTTAAAACGGTCGCATTTTTAAAATAAGCAAATGTGAACTCAAAAAATATTGCTTTTGCCATTCCTCATCTCGTAGGATTTCAGTTAATAAAAGTACTAGTATTGCCATAGAGCAAATAACAATATAATGGATTCCACTAGGTGAGAATAAGGAAACTTTGTTTCATATTTGAGAATTTAAAAGAGACTTTTTATTAAAATATAAGAGAACATTTTTATATACATATATAATATGTTGTGCATATATAATTTACTATCTACAATATTGTTTTTTCACTATAATAGCTCTCATACTTAAATAGCTTAACAAAAAAAATGAATTTTTAACTAAGTATAATAAACTTCTGAAATAGAAACCTAAAAATTTTGTTGTGTTTACGCAACAACTGGGAGGGATTCATACATGTACATAAGTAATCACATTTGGTAAAATTACGGTTTTGAAACACTCCAAATGATGAAGTTAATAAAGATATACAGAAATCTAGTCTAGAAAGAATGCAGCTACGAGCTTATTTTGTGATTTATTTGTGTCTTTTAAGTTGTCGACAGACCACTCTGTAACTCTGCTTGTGTAATTTAATTTGGTTTTTATTCTTCGAATGCAATAAAATTTCAAAGTTTTAAATTACTTTGGTCCAGATTTTATTATTTCATTTCTTAAAGTTTTTCAGGGAATAAATAAAAAAATAGAAAACGGAAAAAAAAAGTTTAAGAAGTTTATGAGTTGTGAAAGAGTTTAATTTTTCTTTTATGGTTTTACAATAATATTTTATTGTATATTAAGAAAAGAAAAACATTCAACTAAGTAACAATATAAATTAATTTCAGAATGAACACTTGCAAAGCAGTTTTCATTTAAATATTTTTTTCTTTCAAAAACTAAAATGGCAACTTATTTCTTGCTTATATTTTTTATACCCGCCTATACATAAACATGAAATGGGTATAAAGGGGTATATTCAATTTGTCGCTACGTATGTTACAATAAGAAGGAATTATTAATGACCCTGTAGATATAAATATATATTCTATATATAACCTTGCTCAGAAACAATCGAAAGCAAGAATATACTTGCTTCTAAGATGATCCAGCTTTGTCTGTTCTTCTGGTCCTTTGTCTATTCATCTGTTGTTGAAGGTCTTATTTGAGCAAGATATTTGAATGATTTGGCGCAGATGCATAGTTTACTATACCCAGACTGGTATTAAAGCTAAGCAAGTGTGACCCACTAGAAATTATACCCTAAAGGTAAAAAAAATTACCAAACATCGTCATGCGCCATATCGTTGAAAAGTTCTCATGTACGACGTATGTATGTGAGATAATGATAAAAAAAAAATCTGCCATTTGTAACATTTAGGAAACACTTAATAAACTGTACAACCCAGCTACTAACAGTAAATTTTGCACGCGAACTATTTATAATTAAGAGTTTAACAAAAGCTTAATATAATTTAACAAAATATATGTAAGCTAGTTCCAAAATTTTCTTTTTATTATAGCTTAATACGTTTACCGAGGGTGAAAGTTTTAAAGTTTTGAGTTGAGATAAAGTTTAAAAGACTTAAATAGGCGGGTATTCAATTTCGGCAAAAACCATAATTAACTTTTTGAATTGTTTCCATAATATTTTATATAATTTTAAACTCTTACCATTAAAAGCCCGTAACGAACTAAACATATTTAAATCACTTTATTGACTGGTTCTCATTTTACTTTTAAAAATAATACTTAATATTAAAACGAATAAAATTACAAGTTATGTGTGCGTTTAAGGTTACAAACATGTCAAAAAGCAAAAAAAAAAAAATACAAAATGAAATGGAAATTTCAAATTTCAACATAAACATAAATCCCTTTTATTAATACTGTTATAAATGTCTAAATATATACACATAGGATTACGTACACTATACATAACGTAATATACATTCGAATGTAACTTTCGTTTTTGAAAACAATACTTATTGTGCTATCTATATGAACGTTATGTACTTCTCTTTTATGTTACATGAATTCTCACTTGGGTATTTGATATGCGTTTTGTATCAAACAAAAAGTCAAATAATGTTGTACTGTGCTTGTTAAGGTTATTTTGTTACCTTTACTCTGCTACGACATTGAAATTTGTGATTTAAAAAAAATAAAGCAATTTGCGACAAAGTAAAACGAAAAATAAATTTTCTGATTTAACTTAGAGTTATAATGAACAATTTATTTGATAATACATTCTATGTTCAGTACTACGTAGTAACATACATACTATATATTTGGTATTTCTGGCCGGTCCATATATATGATACGGCTAAAAACTAAAAAAGGATTAGCTAAAATACTCATATAGAAGAATATTTTTATTTTTATGATAATGTTAGGTAAAGAAATTTTTGGGAGACATTTCGAAGAGAAGTAAAAATATGAGCAAGAATTGTTTAAAATAATGTGGGTACAATATATCCTATTAAACCTCAAGACACAGTTGTTTTAGTACAATCTATAATGCATGTATTTAATGAAGAAATAAAATACTTATTTTGGGAAAGCTTAATACTTCGAAATAAAAAATAATTGAGTTTGAATTGAAAATTGCCAAAAATCCGGTGGCGCGCTTGAAAAATTTGTAAGTGGAAAAAAATTATTGTTTACAATTTATACAATTATAAATAGTTCGAAGAAATCTTTCTTGGCTATCTTGACAAACTTATTTTACAATATTTCAGATTAGCACGAATCTATAGAAAATTTGCACATTTTTCAAAATATAGCAATAATAACGAAATTTCTCTATAATCAAATTGTTAAGAATTTTTTTTTCTGGTTGATAATTCGTGAGTTGATTCAAATATTAATACCCGCGTAATACAAAAGCTAACCCCCAATTTCTATTTTATTTTTATGAAATTATGATCTATCATTTAATAATGTTTATTAAAGTTTATTTAGATTATTATTAGAGTTGTAATAGAAGGCAATCAAACTATTTTTAGTCAAAAAACAAAAAAAAAATCGAATTAAAATAAAATTGAATCATTTGTAACCGATTTATGATTATAATTTTGATATTAGTAATATTAATACGATATACTTAAGTAGATATCAGTAATATTTATTGGAATATAAAATATAATATAATATGAACATTAGAATAATTTAACTAATATGTCTACAAACCGCTTGAATGTGATATCAAAATAAATGAGAATAAAACTAAAAATATAAAAAAAAGAAAGGAAACATTTATGATACACACTTAATATGTTTGTGATTATTATGGTATAACAAAATTACAATTTGGAAATAGACGAACATATAAAATGTGGAAAAAAGGGAGAATTGGAAAATATAATAAAAAATGTTAAAGAAATAATCAAAACAGAATCGAAAATTTTTTCAAACTTATACATTAGTATAAATTATATAAAATCATGTATATATACATTCTGGCAATAGTATCATTTGCTACTATGTTATGTATATATACTTATATATGTATACTAAATATGTATAAAATGTAATAACAACAGCATCATTCTATTATTGCTAACGTCACCATATACTTATTTACTTAATAATTTTGGTTTTTTATTAATATTATTATTATTATTATACCAGTAAATTAATATGGTTAATAATAATTATGTATATTTAAACATGTATTTAAAATTATGATTATATGGGTCAAATAAGTAGAGAAAATATCTATTATGTATTAGCCAACAATAATTAAAAAAATTTTCAAAAATGAAAAATATCGAAAAACTAAATAAATATTTTAAAAATCTTAGATTGGAAATTATTTAAGCAAAATTTTTTAAAATTAAAAATGTAACTTTTTATATATCGTAATATTGATGAGTAATAAATATGGAAGTAGTTCTTCAAGAACATAAAAATTAAAATAAGTGCATGTATGTGACAATGCTAATACTTGATTCATTAATATTGCCGGTATAGTTTGTCGATTTAATTCATCATTTTATAACTTAATAAATTTGAAAATAAGTAATTTTTTTTTATATTTTAGCGTGCAGTTTAGTTTATTAATAAAGTTTGTGGAACTGCTGAGGTTCTTAATATAAGATTATTTCAACTATTGGTAAAAAATTTTCAAATTATATTGAATTTATTTCTAATTTGACACTTTTAAAAGCTAAAATGTCGTTTCTAATATTTTTGAATTGGATCAAATAAAAAAAAACATGATGCATTTCGCAAATTACTGAAACTGAAAAGTAGTTTGATATTTTTTATGCTAGTTTCACCTGTAATCGTCATTTTTCATTAATTTGGCCGAAAATGAATTGTAAAAAACGCCGAATTTCGAATTCTGTTTTTTTTTTGTATTCAACCTTAAATATTTTTAAACTTTATTCTCTTCATTCAAATTCGATTTTTCATTGGTTCTTATTAAAAAAAGTGAATTAAAGCTTAAAAATTAGAAAGAAAAGCAATTTTTCCAAGAATTTTTATTTCGAAATTTTGTAATGCTGTTTTTCGTTTTTTTTCTGTTATTCTCTGTTCAATTTTGACCTATATATGAAATAATAATACATATTATCCTTAAAATAAAAGAAAAAATAAAAATTTGAATTTTTAATAAATATATTTTTTTTTCTCTCTTTTCAGTAAACTATTGCAGAAAGAGAAAGAGTATCTAATAAAGTCGATAACTATAAAAAAAGAAAAGAAAAATCGAAATGATAAACTTATAAAAAAAATAAACAGAGTGAAAGAACATAAAGGAGGCAGTAGAAAATCTATAATAAAGTAAATATATAACATATAATAAAAACATATATATATATATATATATGTATAATTATAATAAAATCAAATAAAAAATGAAATAGAAATTGAAACAGAAAATCGCAAATTTTTCTTTTGTTCAGTTTTTATTTTTTTTTTTGAGAAAATCAGTAATATGGTTTTAGTGAAACAAGTGTAATAAATAACAGTCAAAAATAATCTTCGATTTTATTTTTCAAAAGAAGTTTTTCATTTATGTTTTATTTTTTTATATACAGGAGTATATATGTACATACGTGTTATATTATAGAAAAGTATATTTTTGTTTTTATTAGTTTTTTTTTACATTTTTTCGATATTATTTTCTTCTTTTTATTTTAATACTATTCGGTTGTGAAAATTTGTGAATGGTTTTGTATTTTCCTTTTTTTTTTTAAATCTGTTTTTTATGTAACTCTTATATAAAACAATATTCAAATATATTTTTATATAGAGTACATTATTCGTAAATTATAGTGAGTTTTGTATACTACGAGAATTTCTATAGAGAGTAAAACAAAAGGGAATAAAATAAATAAAACTATTATAAAAGTAGGAAAAAAACGTATTTAAAAAAAAAGATTTTATAATAGAAAAAGTGTAATAAATATATAATATAATACAACAAAAACAAAACATAAAATATATTTAAAAAGTATATAAGCAACTACACAACACAATAGTACAAAAAATTCTTTAAGAATTAACATGAAAAGTTTTCATCTTCTTCATCTTATTTATTTCATTACTACCACTACTATTACTACTTGTTACTGTCTCTACCGTAATATTACTGCTGCTGATTACTATTACCATTACTGTTAATACGATTTATCATTTATAACTATCGTATAATTTATTTTTTTTTTTTTGTTGAATTCTTCTTTCGTTTAATCATTGTAAAGCAAAATTTTCTTACATTTCTCTTTTGGTTCCCTTTTAAACGTCTGCTTTTTAATTTTTTTATGTATAAGTACATATGTATATATTTTATGTAGAGATATTTTTGTATGTTTACATATAGTACTCGTACATATGATATAAAAAAGAAGAAAGAAACTTTCAAGTAAACTAATAATAATAATATTATAGATTTGCTAAGTCTTGAAAAAAAGCAAAATAAACGAAGGTACAATCAACAACAAAAAAAGATAATTTAAAAAGAAATAGAGAGAAAAGAAATAAAGAAAATATTTAGAAGTGAAAAATTTTCTTTTTTCATGAGTCTTATAGAAAAAAAACAAGTAAAAATAATATATTAAAGTGAAAATCTTTTAAAAATCTCGTTTCTTGTTACTGCTATTAAAGTAGGAGCATACTAAAGTTTTTTAACTACGGTAATAAGTATAAGAGAAAAATATAATTTGTGGTTAACTTTGAATTTTTTTGTAATCTTGTCTAGCTATCTTTTAATACTTTATTAATAATATATTCATACATATACATTAATATATATATATATATGTATATATTATAAAATAATTTAATACTATAACAAAATTCGCATATAAAAAAAATTGTTAACTGTAATTTAATATTGTGTGAGAAAAAATTTTATCCATATGTGTTATTTCACCTTATATGCTTTATACTTACAAAGTCATACGCATACATACATAAATGTGTGTTTTAAGCAAGCAAATTACAATCAAAATATTATTTAAATATCATAGCTAAAAAAAAGAGAGAATTAAATAGAAAAGAATAGATGACGAAAAAGAAAATATAAATACTTTGATAAATATAAGAAAAAAGAAAAAAGAGAAGAAAATTGCGTTGCGTCTAAAACTTGTTCTGATAATAAAATTTATGATCTCTTAAATTTAATATTGTGAACGACATTTATCGATAATAAATTCGATAAATCATAAATAAAATAAAAAATATTATGTTATATAGAATAAAAGAACAAAAAAACCGGTTCGATATTTTCATTGTTTTTTTGTTTATTAGGAATCGATTATCGTTATTATTATTATTTTGTTTCCTAATTTTATTTTATATTAATTATTACTATATATTTTATACTAATTGTTTTCAATTTTTTTTGGTTTATATTTTATATTAAACGTTATTAAATAATTAAATTAATTCTTTTTTTTTTTTGTTTAAGCTGTAATATTTAATATTTTTAGTAAAATACAATATTTATTATAAATAACTAAGGCAAACATATTAAAAAAATAAAATTAAATGAAAATAATTTGAAAAGAGAAATTATTTGTGAAAAGAAGCTTAGAGTAATTAAATTAAAATATAGTGCATTAGTGACCATACAAGTGTAAAAAACAAAAAAAAAAAAAATAAATGATTAAATGAATAAGTAAATAAATAATACTAAATTCGCATATGTATATTGTATTTTAAAAAATATTTTACATAAATATTAAGTACACATGATTATTGTAATGCGTAATGTGCACATTTCATTATTTTTATTACAACTATTACTGAAAAATTTAATTATTGTTGCTGCAGTTGCTAGCTAAATCATCTATTACTGCCGCTACTGCCATAATTAATCACTTATAAGGGTCATAATATATTAATGTATATATATTATATATATACATTAATAATTTTAATTTTTAATTAAAAGGAAATCACAACAAAATATACATAGGATCTTTCAATGGATAATTTTAAATTAATTTTCGTAATAGGTAAGTTCATTAAAATTTTTATATAATTTACTTTTTTTTATTATTAAAATTTTAAATTTTCATATTATAATTGATTTCTTAAAATACATTTTTATTGTATACTTACTTATTATGTATACTAACTTATGTGTGGTATAAGATTATCATAGGTTTACCAAAAAAAACTTTGGTTTATATAAAAAAAATTTATGGTTCATCCACATAATTTGTCATAAAAGAATTTTTTTTTAAATAATGGAAATTTTAAAGTTTTAGTTTGATAAATTCCTATTAAAAGAATAATTAAACTCCAAACCTTACTCAAATCTATAATGGGTGGAATTGAACTATTATAGTTTAAATAAATAAATAGAGTAGAAAACAAGAAACTGTTCCGTATGTAAATCATCTTATATAGTTGAAACAAGTCTTAATGTTGTTCTATGGGAGTAAAAACTATGCTATGTATAAATTTAAATACATAATTATTACAGATTTAATGGTTATTTGCCATAGAAACAGGTAAAGGCATAATAAATTTGCAACTCCCTTCTTCTCCCAACTTTGATCCTATTTCGAAAATTTCTTTTCGAATTATTCGCTTTATTTTTGTCTGCAGACAGTATTTTTATACAAATAACAATACTTAATTGGTAAACGCTTAAAATATTAATCGCATTAAAATGTCTGCGTTATTAAATCATATTTCTTTGAATAATATATTTTATTTTAACAATTAATTTCTATGAAATTTTGAGCATAACAAAATAAAATTAATTGGATTAAATTATAAAATTTGCTGATTTCTTATTAAATTAAATTCTATGAAGAAATTCTTCTTTCAATATCGCATGTTTTGGATGAAAAATTACTGATTTTTTATTTAATTTAATTCTATGAAGTAGTTCTTCTGTCAATTAAGTCGCAGCTTTTGTATATTTAATATGCATATAAGTGTGTCTTTGCTTAAACGAGCAAATACACACTTATTAAACGAGACACACTTATATATACCTATTATATAAAAACTAGAATAAGTAGAGTTCGCCGTGTCAGTTCCTCTGTCATACCCATATACGAATAAATGATTTCAAGTTCTGTACGTTAATTGCCACAATGTCCTAATCGTGCTCCTGGTGTTTAAATGACTTTCGACGTTAAATGACATAGCTATCATCGCAAGTCAAGAAACTAGCTTTAAATAAAACTAGTTTCTTGACTTGTGGTCTTTTTTAACTGGTCTTAAATAAAATTCCCAATGAAATATTTGTTCGGAGTTTAAATGTATATTATACACACGTACGATTTGGTTTCAAAGAAATCTTAAACTTGTTTAAGGTTTTACCATAAATTAAGATATGCACGTTTAATTTGATGCTGCACATTTTAAAGAATTCAATATTTTTTTTATATCAGTGAGTAGTTTGAAAATGGCTTTGGTATGTCTTGCTTAATTGAGGAAGGTGGTATCGAATAGGTTAACATTTGTGTTATAGTTTGACATGCGTTAATTTTATTAAGGGATACAAATTTTATTAATATTCATAACTTAGAAAATAATCTACATAGTTAAAACAAAACTCATTCAATTTAAAAACGTATAATTATGTCATTAAAAATTCATAAATGGAAAATATCATAAACAATGTGAAAAATGAGTGAATAAATTAAAATTTCGCACTTTTATTCAATTTACAAATAGAAGTATGTTCACTTATACATATATCTACGAGAATGATGAATACTAGAAATATATTTACGAGGCACAAATTTTATTACTTATTAATAATTTGAATAATGTTTGAAGTTAAAAATGAAAATTATTTTCATGAAATTTTCCATTATTTTATGACATTTTCAAAGTCCATATTGTTTTATGAATATTCGATGCGAATATATTTCGAGATATAAAAGCTATAAAACATACGCCAACATTTTTGAATAAATAAATTTTTATACAACAACACTTTATTTCAAATATCTATAAACCATGTTCGATTTAATGGAATTTGGAATTAAAATTTCAGAAAACATATACTGTAATACTGTATATACTCGTATAACATTATTTCCGCGTTTATTATTGTTGCAAATTTATAAGTTCATTATAAAATTAAAAATTTTTTGTATTAACAGAAAACAATGAGTTCTTATCCCGCTCTATGTCCATACAGGTACATTAATTTCATTTAATACATATAAACATATTACGTTTTTTAGTTTATGTTAATGTAGGTGTTGATATCAGTTTCAGCTTTTATAACTATATTATTAACATTTTAAGTTTTAACAAGGTATCGCTAAATAAACACTAAGTAAAATGAGATTAATAAAAAAGTTAGTTTATTTTTAAATTTCCTTTATGTCAAGAAAATATGTGCGTTTTGGGAAACAGTCATGTTGTGTTCTGAATTTTGTTTTTGATAAAAGTGAAATAGTTTCTAAAATAATCAAGCATATTAAGTTTATCACGAAAAGGTTTTTTATGGTATATTTTTAAAAAACCATTTTAATAATTAATTTACGTACTAAATTTTTAATATAGTTATGAACGAATTTCAAAATTTCTTTTTATAAAGCTTGAGACTAATCGAGAGTCTCAAAGTACGTTTAGTTCCATGTTTCATTTAAATAAATTTACCTATTTGAGGACAAGTTTTAATTTGATAAATGGTTATAAAAAAATAAAATAAAAAATTTCAAATTTCATGAATTAATTTTGAAAATAATAAAGGTGTCGCTTATAGACCGTTTTTTAATTCAATTTGTAATTTTTATTTAACTTTGCACAACTTTTTAGTTATTTACTAAGAATAAGAAAATGTTATTTAAAAATATACAATAAACTACGAGTACTAGAACGATATTTATTTATTTTCTGCCTAATTTGACGCGTGTACATGTGTATACACCCATAACATTCAGATATACACATATACAAAACATCTTGAATATCGAAAACAAATATATAATTCAAATGTGTATGTGCATAGGTGCATGAAGCGTTTGTGTACATTATTGCGAAATATTTATTGCCAGGTGATTTAAGATATATCTATACATTTCATTATGTAGCACATATAAGTTGGTAATTAAATGTTCTACAAAATGTTAAGGGAACATACCCTTAAAACCATAAGATTTCATTTACTCATTATAAGAGAAAACCATTAAAAATCGCCTAAAAATAGATGTTAAATTTATTTTATTTATGTGCGTTAGAGTACATTATACTGATTACTATTATTATTTTGTTTTAATAAATTTTTTCGTTGTCCTTATAAATGGATTCAACTGTACGCTTGAACAGAGGAGCTGATTGCAATGAATAAGCATGCTTAAATATTTTTTCTAGAACTACAAAAAAAAAATTAAAAACTTACATATTTCTCAGAAAATTTAAGTAATAATTTCAAGATGCGAAAACGTGCTATTTGTTTAGAAAAATTTTATAGAGTTTCGGTTCAATTATTTAAAAAATCATAAACTTTTTGAAAAACTTGTAAATATTTATAGTTTTATAAAAGATACAAACATACATACATATACGAATAGATAGGTACGCCTAAATGGATGTATATAAATGGATGTATATATACATACTTAAGTATAAGTTTACAATTACTTACTTGCAAAACTTCAGCTTTGGGTATAGAAAACAGTTTCCTTTTTATTATTTAAGTACATATACAAAAAACACACATGAAGAATTATAATTTAAACAAAACAGTTTAATTTACAAAAAAAAAATATTTTCGTTCGAATCTTGTTCGTACGCACACACACACATATGTACATAATGTAGTATGTACTTTCTTCTGAATTAATTATCGGTATGAAAACATACATATGTAAAAATTTATTTTAATTTAAAATCGCAAATGGTTTTATCATTTTGATAAATTAATTCATTCATAAATGAAAAACCAATTAATAATCATTTAAAATTTTACTTAGCACTATTTACAAACTTTCTTTACTTTAAAACGAAATCGGCAAAACATGAAGATTAAAAAAAATTTATATTCTTCTTTTAATTGAACATAAGAAAATCTTAACCAACACCTTAAAACAGAGTTTGTTTCTCATACTCGGCATGTAGCACGGAGTTATGTAGATATACTTAGTTGAGTATGTCTATGGGACGACAATTTTGTTTCCTCCATAATTTACTAAGTATACCAATAAAATACACATGGCTTTGTACCCCATATACATATGTATGTAAGTTTTAGTAGAAAATTGCTATAATATAATCTTACGCTTGCATATGTTTGTACGGTTAGGTTTATTACCACCTATGGAAAACGTATGTATATACATATGTACATTTACGATAATACAATGAATTCGAATACATATGCACGCTATATGAATTCTTCTTCGAATTTCATTTATGATTCATACGAAAATATTCGTAAATGCATATGTGTACACCTTGATTTTAATTTACGTCAGAAATTAAATGGTGTAAATCCATTTTTCCGTATATTGTGATAGTGATGTGTTTTATTGAGACGATGGCTCACTTAAATTACTGAAATGTGGATTTATAAAAAAATCATTGTGATTTTTAATTAAATTTAACAAGTCTAACAAGAGGCTTAAGAAAACTGTTTGGTAACAAATTCAATTTTTGTTGTATTCTTAAGCTAAACTTATTACTTATTGCCATTATCAAATACAGATGAGTTGT